CCCCCCGCCGCCCCTCGCCCAGCGCTGGAGGACACGGTGGAGGAGCGCGTCATCAGCGAGGAGTAAAAGATCTGGAAGAAGAACACGCCCTTCTTGTACGACCTGGTGATGACGCACGCCCTGGAGTGGCCCAGCCTCACCGTCCAGTGGTTGCCTGACGTGACCAGGTGAGGGAAGGAGAGAGAGAACTTGCTTGTCCTGCCGCTCTTTCGGTCGCTCTTCGCGGTGTCTGCTAGGTAATTGGAAGGTGAAACCGCAAGAGACTAGAATAATGTGGATTAGGCTCGTCTCGCAGTAAGCTTGTAACAGTTCATTTTACTTACAGCTCTCAAAACCCTTTGGATAGACAGAAGCTTTGAAGGGGAAAAAAAGGTACATATTGATACTGTAGAGAGCTCTAGCCTGACACAGCAAGATCTGCCTTGAGACGGCAGGGAAGAAGTCTTCCTTACTTTATTTTATTGATATGTAAGAGACCTAGCTGTTCTGCAGTAGCTTCTATTCAGAGAAAGAACAAACTTACTAAACTTTTACATGAATAATATTTTTCCTCATGTGCATTACCAATTACTGTTCTGTAGAAGATACACTTTTTTTTTTTTTTTTGGGTCTGGCCAAATTTAAGGGGATGTTGCTCGGTAGAGACTGTGGCCCTTAATATCCTGCTTCTGTCCCTGGCATCGTTGACCTCAGATAACTTAACTTTCCCATTCTTCTCCCTCCCCCTAAAAGTTTGTTGGGTAGCTGGTTAATTTCTTAAAGAATTTTTAAGAGAGAGATGGATTCTCTTGATGTCCCAGCTACTAGAAAACTTAAATTCTCAGAGTAATCACTCAGGACTCCACAAAGTTAATGGACAGGTGTGGGTCCCTCATGCTGCTGTATCACAGATACAGCTTGGCTTTAAAATCTTACCCTTAAAGTTCATGCAGTAAAAAGAGGATGATCTTTTTCCTCTTTAAAATTCCACTTGCATAAGTGGCGTTATATGTGGTGGTTAGGTGATCACTTAATTTTGAATGCCAGGACGTTTGGGGAAGATGTGGAGAGATGTGAGCTAACTATTCATGGCATGGAGAAAATGAAATGGGGAATTTTTCTGAGGGTATGGAGCCCTTATGAGGAACACTTCTGCTTGCCTCATATTTTGCAGATTGACTTAATATTCAGTTAAAAACCTGATATTTCCAATTACCCAGTGTCAGAATATGTAAGCCATATAAGGCAAGGACTGTCTCTTTGTATGGCACCTGACATGATGGGACACCTATTCCTAATACAAGTAAGTGTGTGTGCATTGTGTGTTTTTTATTTTATTTCCCCCCCTCGCCCCAATTGTATGGTGATGCCCTGGAATAGGTGTAATAATACTGATGATGTTTTTTGATTGCCCACGTGATTCCTATTTCCTCTTTGCTTGGGTTCAGATAGCAGAATTAATTTATTGCTTTCAGGAACGCAGAAGTTGCTTGTTTTTATTTGCGTGTTCCAATTTTCCTTTCTCAGATATATGACACCGTCTCTCTGACCTTTCACTTATTACTAACTATTGCATTTAACCATCAAAAGGAATTTAATTATAGTTAGCCAGGGTTTGTGCGCTGTTTAAAAATCAACTTCTGAAAACTGTAACAAAATACCAACTGGTAAAAGCATATTGAAAGGAAAGTAACTGAAATAGATTGCTGCTTTTCTCGGGTTTTGTTTTTTATAGAACATAGTATTGCTTGTCTTCCAAATTGATACTATGAGATTGCAAGGAGAATTAAAAATAGGAGTAATTACTAGGCAAACTTTAATTATCCTATTCGAGCAATAGCGGCAGTGTTTGTTGACTTATATTGTCACTCTTGGCTTGCTGGATGTATCCTTGGCTTGCTTATGTCAGGTAATTTAGTTCACTTATTAATTCACAAGTCTGTTGTGGTAAAGCAAGGGATCTCGTACTTGAATATTTTTGTTTTCTGTGGGTTTGTTTTGTTTTACTTTTTTAAATCTTCCTGCAGAAGTCTGGATCTTCAGGGTTACTGATACTAACCAATAAACTTTTGGAAATGAGCTCTTTAATTTTATTCTGTTTTTATTACTCTAAACAGGCCAGAAGGAAAGGATTATGCTCTACACTGGCTGGTTTTGGGAACACACACCTCTGATGAACAGAACCACCTGGTTGTTGCAAGAGTCCAGATTCCCAATGATGATCAATTTGATGCTTCTCAGTATGACAGTGAAAAAGGAGGTGGGCTCTGCATGCGTTTTTAGATGGTGTTCTAGCAGTAGTATTAACAAATGTCCTGTCCAATGGTATTCTAACTTGATCTTGTGTAGTAAAGCTGACATACTTACGACTTTACGCTAATTCTGCATCATTCATAGCAATGTAAATAGAGAAATTACTTGTTTTGAAAGAACTTGGGTAAGATTATGGCATACAGTGTCGGTATCTGTACTAGCTCTGTCAGTTACGATGAAAACTGACATACATCTAGCTTGAATAGATTAATGCTCAAAAAGAGTTTGTATCAGAGGATTCAAAGTATTTAAAGTGTTAATGCTGTGGTGCCACGTGGTACTAGTCTTTCATAGGCTTTATCTTATTGCGCTGTTAAGATGCTTACCGCTGCTTCTTGAGTTGGGGGGAAGTTTGAAGTGCTGTTTAACTCATTTAAACTGACCTTTTTATGACCAATACAGAGTTTGGTGGCTTTGGATCTGTGACTGGCAAAATTGAAACTGAGATTAAGATTAACCATGAAGGCGAAGTGAATCGTGCTCGTTACATGCCTCAGAATCCCTCCATCATTGCTACAAAAACACCATCTGCTGATGTGTTGGTATTTGACTACACTAAACATCCTTCTAAACCAGGTTTGTCAGATTCCTTGAAATTGTGCAGAAAGTCTCTCAGCATTGAGGAATGAACTTGTGTTTGACAGTAATTGGGAGGAGAGATCATGGGCTCTGGAATCAGAGTAGGAAGGTCCAGATTTTCAATGACTTTAGCTACCCAGTTATGTTTAATTTCATAACTCGGTCTCTACAAAAGCAGCACTTTTCTATGAGGTTGATGCATAAAATATGATTTTTTGCAACTGAAAACAAAATTCGTATGCAGCAATGATGCTCATACGGATTGAGCCCCAGGAAGGATTAAGCCACATGAAAGGAATTTCTTCTCTTTCAGATGCGGGTGGAGAGTGCAATCCTGACCTTAGATTAAGAGGGCACCAAAAAGAAGGATATGGCTTATCATGGAACTCCAATTTGAGTGGACATCTTCTCAGTGCATCAGATGATCATGTAGAAACAAACATCTTCCCCCTAAAATACACTATTTTATGCTGTAATAGATAATCAGGGAAAAACTGGATTGCTGTAGCTTTATATTGTTGCCTGCTGAAACTCTCATGTGGTTCAGCGTTGTAATATTTCTTAAGGCTGTCAGTTGGTTGTGGTTGTTTTTTGTTTTTGTAATCAACAGTTAGTTCTGTATCATGTTCTGAGTGAAGTAAGAGCAAGATAGTTTTATGGCTTAGGTCTGAGGCCATAAAATTAGTAAGACTCAAAGGTTAGTATCAGATTAAACTAATAGCTAACAGATTTCTTTGTGGCTTTAAAAGTGAAATGCAAGCTACTGAAATAGGGATGCTTTTTGTAAATTGTTTTGTGACCTTGTTGGAAATAACGTTTGGGCCTTGAACGTGCAGAAAACTGGTAATGTGGCTGAGTTGAGTTTCCACCTAGGGCATAGTAGATTTTTATTATTCAGATACTGTTTCAGGAACGTCATCTCTCTATGTGTACGTGAAATGTGGTGTGTGTGGTTTGTTGTTGTAGTAAGATAACACAGTTAAAACTACCATAACAATACCATATGCTTCTCATTTGCAGACTGTCTGTTTATGGGATATAAGTGCAGGACCAAAAGAAGGCAAAATTATTGATGCGAAAGCAATCTTTACTGGACACTCTGCAGTTGTAGAAGATGTAGCATGGCATCTCCTCCATGAATCTCTGTTTGGATCTGTGGCTGATGATCAGAAGCTGATGATGTAAGTTGGAGTTAACCAATTTTTGAGTAGTGCCTGCTGTGTGCTGTCAGTGGACCAATCCAGAGCACTTCAGGATTGTTATGAAAATCTTAATTTTGGAATGGTTTAATGCGTCTCTTGAGCGTTATCAGCAGTCGTAATACTGCAGAATCTCGGAAATCTGCATATTGTTTAATCTGTGCACATTGTGGGGGGAAAATAAAATGGAATTAGTATGTATTTAAGCTTCCTGATATGGACTACTTATGTACTTTCCACATACAACAGACACAAAATTCCTAAAGGTTTTAGATTAAAAACTGTAGCTTCAGACTAGTGTAAGTAATGATAGACTTAAAGTGGCTTAGGTTAGGGTGGTGGGGGGAACCCTCCTGTGAACACTCATTTGTTTTCTCCTGACTGTTTTTTGTTCTGTCTCTCTCCTCCCCAACCCTGCCCTCCTCCTCCTCCCTCAAACCTTTATCCCGACAGTTGGGACACAAGATCTAATACTACATCCAAGCCAAGTCACTGTGTAGATGCCCACACAGCTGAGGTCAACTGTCTATCCTTCAATCCTTACAGCGAGTTTATTCTAGCAACTGGTTCTGCTGACAAGGTTTTTACTTGTGTATCCTTTACACTTATGTGTATTTTACAGAGTAGTTCTGCAGCCATGATAGTATAAACAACTTTTTGTTCCTTCTCTCAGACCGTGGCTCTGTGGGATCTTCGAAACTTAAAATTGAAACTTCATTCTTTTGAGTCTCATAAGGATGAAATTTTTCAGGTGGGTAAACTTTTCTCACAACCTTTAACAAAAACTAGAAGGGTAGTGACTTGGACAAAAACATGTGGATTTTTGTATGGTGACTGACCTCAGTGAATAAATACACTATTAAACATTATTTATTAAACCAAAGTTCAGTATTTACAGACAGTACTATGTAGTTTCTACCCATCCACACTTTGAAGCAGGTAGTCACAACTTACTGCTAAAGAAATACTGGGAGCTACTCAGTGTGACTAGAAGGTTTCTCTAGAATGTCCTCTAGTAGAGAGGATTGGGATTCACATATAATACTGCTAACTTCTCGTGTTTAGCAGTGTGCAAGTAACAGTGATTTTTACGCACTTAAGTTTCGGAATGGTAAATCTCTGACAGGGAAACGATGTTAGCTGTTCGCTTTGAGAAATCTTAAGCGCTCTTTTTGAGCTCTAGGACGTCCTTTGTGCTGGAAGAAGCTAATTCGTTGAGTTTGGTTGTTGAAAATTAATGATCAGGATATGCATTAGAAGTGAATAATTGCTCCAGTCAAGTTGTCGTCTTTTAATAGGTTCACTGGTCCCCTCATAACGAAACAATTCTTGCTTCAAGTGGTACTGATCGTCGGCTTAATGTATGGGATCTAAGGTGAAGAGCAATTCCTTTCATTTAATGTTGATGAACAGAAGGTAATACAAGGCAGCAGGCCTGCTTTAGTTGGTAGACTTCATTTGTGCTGTTCTCTAGTTTTGCTTGGTTAGTTAACTCAGACCGGGGTTTCCAGGTTTACAGTAGAAACAACACAGTATTTCTAACTTTACTTTTCTATGAAAATATTTTAGCTGATACAATTTTTTTGTATTATCTCTAGTAATAAGGGGTTCCTCCCTCAAGGTTCTTCATAAGTCAGGTTCTATTTTTGTAGTGATAACACCAAGCAATTGATATTCTCTACCTGAAGCTTATAATTCTTTGACAGTGAGAGAAACAAATAGCAAAAGCAAATACTGGAAACAAATACTAGGAACGGGTAAGTTACACCGATTATGGAATGCAATTTGTGTTGTTAATAAAAGGCACAAACTACTTTCTTACAGTAAAATTGGAGAAGAGCAATCTGCAGAGGATGCAGAAGATGGGCCTCCTGAACTCTTGGTATGCTTTTGCTTAAATTTGCAATCCGCTGATAGCTATATGGCAGTGTGATGCCTTTCAACAGTATTTCTAGTTAGATGAGAAAATGGATATTCATGGCTGTCTTTCACAGTCTGACCTTGTGTGAAGTGGCACAGTTTCGAGGATGTCAGTCAGTTGTTGCTATAAAAATATGAACTATCTGCTTAAATGCTGTCTCAGTAATTTTATGTATATCTGTAAGTAGCGAATGGAATATGCTATTTCACACACACCTTTGTGTCTGTATTGTGAATCTCTAGTAGCAAACTCTTCTTCTGTGTGTAGTTATTAGCATAATGAATTTAACTTCTGAATCTTGGATTCAAACAGATTTTCTTTAGAGATTACATGGCTCACTGAAGGTTTTTTTTTTTCGTTTGTTTGTTTTAACAGTTTATTCATGGAGGACACACTGCCAAAATTTCAGACTTCAGTTGGAATCCTAATGAGCCTTGGGTAATCTGTTCTGTATCAGAGGACAACATAATGCAAATATGGCAAATGGTGAGTGTCAAAACAACTCTTGAGTTGCTCTGAAGCTGATTACATAAATCAAACCAAGATGGCTTTTCCTTAGGACAGCTTGTGTCTCCAGTGACTGAAATGAGTCTTTCCTCTGTGTTTTTTTTTTGCGCTATTTGAATGGAAAGTAGGACTTTCAAATGAAAATAAAGGCTAAAACAATGTAGTTAAATGCAACTGGTAACTAATTTTTGTCTCCAAGTCTTAGGACCTAGGTACTAATTAATGTTAAGAATAAATATGGCAGTTGCAAACTTGCATCTAATGCTAGCCAGGACTTGGTTTCACATCTGAACGTTGACTGTGAACCCAGATGCGTTCTAGCTCTGCATGTAGTTCATGTTACTTTACATTGCAACTTGATTGATCAAATCCCTATAAAGACAGAATAAAATCACTTGAGAATAACTGAAGTCTCATCTTCAGATAAAACTGTAACAGACTTAAATGTGTGCCACAGGTCAGTCTTTCCACTTTAAAATACCCGTTCTTTAACTTGTCATATGTGTTCAAGCTGGGGTTGAAATAAATCACAGAACAGAATGTCCATGGTAAAGAAGTAGAAGGATGAGGTTCATCCTACTGAACTAAGATAATGCAGGAAGACAGCTGCTGATATCTAGGCATTGTATGTACATTCATGAAATTGGCTGCCCTTTAAGAAAAGGCAGGGAGAGGGCCTCCTTAAGAGGAGGATGATCTCTACTTTCTGAGTGGTGCCCAGTGATAGGATGGGAGGCAACAGGCACAAACTGAAACGCAGGCAGCTCCGCTCCGTCTGAACGTGAAGAAGAACTTTACTTTGAGGGGGACAGAGCACTGGAATAGGTTGCCCAAGAGGTTGTGGAGTCTCCTTCCCTGGAGATGCTCAAAAACCATCTAAACACAGTCGTGGGCAATGTGCTCTAGGTGACCCTGCTTGAGCTGGGTGGGGGGGGGGGAGGGTTGGACTAGATGATCTCCAGAGGCCCCTTCCAACCTCAACCATTCTGTAATTCTTGGGATTACCATGGTTTTACTGCAGTAAGGGTAGAAGGCTGTTTAAAAACCAGATCTGTCTACCACTTGTAATGAAATAATTTGTGTCTTTAGGCGGAAAACATTTATAATGATGAAGAACCAGATATAGCAGCAGCGGAACTGGAAGGTCAAGGAACATAACTTTTCTTCCTGAAGGAAATACTGGGTGTGGCATAGTAATATAATTTGACTACTATATACATTAAGAATATTCTTGTTTGAATGTAATGCTTTTACCCAATGCTTGATTTTTATCAGGCACAAAAAGCTTATATAGTCAAGTTGTAATGGGATCTCCTTGGTTACTTGGGCACTCTGAGCTATTGTATACTGTACAGCATTTAGCTTTTAGGGAAGATGAGAATGACTGAATACCTATGTCTATATTTTTAAACAGACTTAGTAGGTTCCTGTAAATAAGACAGTTAAATCCTCACTCTTCCCACAATGAAATTGCAAATAAAAAGTTTTTATCACTATGTAAAAAGAGCTTTTCACTTTTACACAATACTTTCTGATTGGCTTTGCATAAATAAAATTTATTAAATAAAATATTTGGTGTGTTTAACTGTTTTATCTGTTGACATAAGGTAAATGCCTTTTTGCTTGAATATAAAATACCATAGCAGAAAGGACTGTTATTTAATTTCTGCAGATAATAAAGGTAAGTAATTTTTGGCTCGTATCTTACTATATTAATAAGGGTCTGGAGAGATGAGAATCGTCTTGCCAATATGAAAAATGTAGAAAAAACAGAGAGATGTTGTATTCTTGACAAGCAGAAAGTAGCTGTCTGATATGGAAAGCTGCTTATGGAATACCTAAGGATGACCAGTCAGTCTCCCTTGAAGTCCAAGGGTTAAGTCTTGAGCAGACTCAAGTAACTGCTTGTTGGGGAGTGGTGATGGAAACACTCTTCTCTAACCTTTTCTTACTTTATCTGCTAAGATAGCAATGCTGTCTCAAAGAATTAAGATCACCTGTTTTTAAAGATGTCTTGTAGCTTTCTTTGATTAAAACGATGGGGTGGGGGTGAGGCAGTTAACTAAAACACGTTGGTATCTAAACAAATGCAAGACAAACGTACTGCTAGTTTCTAAACCTCTGCTGCCTGAAAGCTGGCTGGAGGACTTGGACCATCTAGAATTAATAGATCTCCATGTTTATGATGGTTCTGGAGGCAAGCTGCAGGTCACTTGGAATTTTCAGTCCAGCTGATTCCCAGTCTGACAAATTAAAAGTCAATGTCTAACTGTTGATGAGTTTAAGTTCAATTTTAAGTCAAAGCTTTTAGTTAAGAAAGGTTTCAAGATTAAACAGATTGTTAGCTGTATTGATCTTTCTGCTTATTCTGAAAGAAATCTGAAGGTTTGGGTGGCTGATACTGGAAATGCGATTTTTGACTGTGAGAATGTTACTTCCTTTGATGCATAGCTTACCATTGTCTTGGATTTGAACAAGTTAGTAGGCTACAGGACTCAAGTTACCTACCTCAAAACTACTGTTCTCTAATGGAAAGCTGCTATTTGGGATAAACGTTTTTAAGGGTGAGATTCGAATGGACAAGTATTTTGATTTAACTCCTCTTTGTGTTATGTGTGGAAAATATGTCTCTTGGACGTTCCGTGAGTCTTGTATTACATCCCATTCTTGTAAGTGTTGATGCTTTGGAGGGGAGGGGGAAGGAATAAAAGTTGAATTTGAAAAACTGAGCTAATCTCGTTTGCATGAGACAATTAGATACCAGTACTGCAGGTGGTAGCTGGAACTTGACTATAGGCATCTGTGGGTCAGCATTTTTTTCCTCAGGAAACTTCTTCACTGTCACTAAAAGAAGAACTAGCTCCTTTCTAACATGCGTTCTCCTGGGTGTATCTTCTGGTCACTGTCTACAGCTGATTGATTGATTATTCCTGTGCTAGTGCTGTGAGGGAATGGAAGTTGTATAGTGAACGTGTTGCTATCTTCCTTTTTTACTGTTCAAATAATAGTCATTCAGCTAACACAGTCAAAGACCAAGTCTTGATACCTTTGGCCAGCAATTTTCTAACTAACTGTTTCTTGCCCCACAAGTGATGCTGTAAGGGGCGCTGTGTTTTTTTTTTTGGATGTGAATTTAATTTGCAAATGACTGCAAATGATAATCATTAAACATAATTCAGGGACAGCTTTTGGTCATGCCCTACTTCCTTTTGATGTTCATCTCAACGTGCACAGCTTTGTGACCTGCTCACGGTTAAGGACAGGATTAAAAAGTAGAAAACTAAGAGGTCAGTATCGTGCCTGTGTGCTACTGTAAAAATAAAAATACTTTCCAGAGAGCATGGTGGTGGCTCTTCTTGGCCCAGATGCCACTGTGGGCTACTATATTACTCCTCCCACTGCTGTTGCTCTTTAGCACTGACTCCACCCAGACATACTGGCCCTTAAAAGGTGTACAGTGTAGTTCATTCCTATAACTAGTGATCTCAGCTTTGTGTTACTATTACAATTGTGGGTGTTTACTTACTTAGTAGGCAGTAAGAAGACTAGAGTGGGATGGAGAGAGGGTGAAGTGCTTATTGCAGCTTTCTTCTCAGTGTTAGTCTAATGCCGCTTATTTTTAATTCTCAGCCTGTTGTTACCAGGACCCCCAGGTTACAGGTACTGGATTATCATACATAAACATATCTTCTTCCACTTGTGTTTCCAGAATGGATTTTGTAAAAGTGCAGAATGATGCTCTTGACAAAAATGCTGTATCTTTCTACGTTTTCCCAGTGTTTAAGGTCTTAGATCACGTAAGACTCCATAGCTTGTAGGAGATAAGGCTAATTATGTGAGCCTTTTAAAAAAAAAAAAAAAAAAAAAACAAACATTGGCAGGGTTCAAACGTTGGCAGGGTTCCTGATTTCCATCACTGAAATCCCAGGAGTTCCAAGTTGGAGAGCTGGAGCTCTCTGAGCAAGTCACTGGTGGATGGCTTCAGCTTCCAGCAAAGTCCTACTGCTTCCTTGCAGAGCAGAGTTAGACTGAACAGGCAGGCAGGTGGCTGGGTCCTGGGAAGGATGCTGTAACATCACTCTTGGTAGCACTTTCTGGCTTTTTTGCTTCTTGCTGGAGGTGAGGACCATTATGTTTTTTAATTTGTAAGAAGTCCTATACTTCTTAATTGCCTGTGTTTAATGTTTCACAAACATTCTAAGGTCATCATTTTTAAAACATGCATATCTGATTGCCTTAATACTTTGGTTTTAAAAGTTGGTGACTGCCATAGTAAGTAAATACTGTAGAGGCATTGCATTTAATTAATAACTTCAAATCCCATTAGTCTGATTAAAAAATAAAACCTGATAATAGTGAACCTGAGTGATGGCTACCAGCAAGATATACTTTTTTTTTTTTTTTGCATTAAATAGTAGCTACATAGTGCTTAGGGTGTAGTTAATTCAACAAATTGTTACTCCTGCAGGTTGGTACATGCTAGGAGGAGGAAAAAAACAGCAAGCTTGCCATTCACTATCCCTTATTTTCAAAGGAATGGGGTATTGAGTTTTCATACCCATCATCTTTGCACTAGATCTAGTGCAGAAGCGTGGGCAGAGACCATAACAGAAACTACAGAAAGTAACTTGAAGTGAGGCATTGCCAGTTTACAGTGACTTTCTCACTTGACCTCACCCCTATATTATATTTTATGCAGTTTTTCAGGAGAGAGGGTGACTTCTCTCTAAAGCTTTCAGACTGCATTGAAGAAATCTAAATTCTTTCATTCATCTTGGTACTGAAAACAAACTGAGAATGAGAAAAAACATGCACCTTTTTAAAACTATGCTTACACCCTGTAATTTTATTTCAGCAGACTAGTGATTGCAAGGTTGAGCCATGCTGTCTAGTCACATCAACTGAACACTTCACAACAGTGGTCTGTAACAAATTCTGTATGCTTCTAGCACTGAGTTGCAACTGGTTAACTGCTAATAAAGCCAACATGCATTACTAGTCTCCAAACAGCAGGAGGAAAAAAAAAAAAAAAACCTCTTTTCTTCCCTAAGGACCTGATGGCTTGCATCACCAGCTGGTGCAAAGGTGAACTTGAAAAACAAAAAAATGTTTATGTGAGGAGCTGAAACTGGTTAAGGCTAATGGCTATTGAAATAGTTTAGAAGACTGATACCCATATGATAGTAAAACTGAGCTAGCATGCAGCTTTCCTGTAGGGAGTTGTTTAATCTCAGGCAACATTTGATATATTAGGATTTACAGTCATTTGTTTTAGGCCTGTATACATATGATAGCTTTAGTTTATAGCATATACAACAACAAAAAAAATTCCCCTTTAAAAGGCAATTATTCACTGCTTTAGAAGTTCAAGCTGCATAAAAGCCACATCCCTAAGACGAAGTAACCAGGCCAGAAACAGCAAGAAAAGTCAAAGCTAGCAAAGGCTTCGATAAGCAGGATTTATAAAAACAGCACTATGACCAAGAGCATACTCGTATTTGTGGCACTGTCTTGGACTATATGCAAGGCCTGCTGCAAGACAGAGCTGGCACAGTCCATAAGGTACTTGAAATGCAAATCCTTGCTGAAGCAAGAAATCCAAAATAACCTGCCACCTCAAAGCTAGATGATTAATTTCTTTTAAAATCATTTGTTAAGTCTTTGCAGGCAGCATGATATTCTTAAATACAGTCTATTAAAAGCTCAGGCTAAATGGGTGCCAGAGTCAATAAAAGGATCAATAAAAAGTAGCTTATTTAGATGAGCGACTGAATTAGGCTATTAGAATGAAACAGATACTTATTTCAAGAAAACATGTCTAAACAAGTGGAAAGAATGGATAATGGGTAGTGTAAACGCAAAAATCATAAAGGAAGCAAAAAGCAATTGTGTGCAGTAACTTAGTAAAGGTATACAAGCAAGCATCTTTTTCAAGTACATCAAAAACACTTGCCAGTCTGACAGGAAGATGAAGCCCTAGCAGAAGTGAACTAAGATGTCCAGTATGCAGCTGCTGAAAGAAGTTCTCACCTCAGAGCTACTTTTCATAAGACAGAGGAGTTGGGGGGGGGGGGTACCAGAGAGAATACAGAATAACTCTGCAAAAATCAGTCTTAATAAATACACAGGGCTAAATTCCTCAGCTATTTACTGTGGTGTGTCACCATATTTGCAAGCTATTGTGGGAGATGAACAGGACCAGTTTTTATAAAGACTGGGGCAATCTATGGAACTACCACCAGTAGATCTGACTGCCATATTGATAAATAGTGAGGCACAGTCAGCACCTTTGTGGAAAAAGTCTCAGATCTGAGGGAATAGGCTGAAGGAACAAACAAGTATAGCATGATGGAGAGCAATTCAGACAGTGCAGTATACCTAGATTTCCAAATACTTAGAATCTAAGGCGCAGGGGGTAAGATCTATGCTGTTCAGCTTTTATAGGACGAACTGAGGAGGACAGCCCATGTTTGTGTTATAAATTAACACCATCTTCAAAGAGTCACAGAGGATATTATATATTGTGATAAACAATTTTACATCCTACCTAGAAAAGTGCCTATGTGAAGGAAAAATGACCTCTAAACTAGTTCTCACAACTTAGCAAAGTTGTCAGAATTTAGGGAAGAGGCCAAAAAAGGCACACTTAACACTCAAGATCAAGAACAAAAACCGAGAGAGAATTATACCATATTAGTAGCAAATAGCTCTACAGTCTTGTGAAAGAGTGAGCACTTGATGACATTACTAGACAGCCTAGTTCAAAAACAAACGCTGTGGAATTCAGGGTCAATACCCTTTTGGAGACAAAAAGCACAATCTGAATTCAAAGTGAGAAGGCAGAGCCTCAGTGAGGGCTCCTGCCCTCCAGGGTCTGATGTGCGCTCCAGCTTAAGAAGTCCCAAAACAGGAGCCTGCTGGAAGAGCATAGGAGGTACAGTTCTGTCTCACCAGTTTCTCCCCATGCAACTTGCACTGACACAAGTCATCCACATGACCCCATATACCACCATTCTTGAACAATACACTTACTCTCAAATTTCACATCTTTTAATTTTTCATTCTTGAATTTTCAAACAAATACAATAAGAGTTCAGTAGATCCAGTCAGACATGAATATGATGTTAAAGAAAAACTCAGAGTCCAATATATTAAGCATACTTATTTACTTAATCTATACAGAATTGAGTAGATAAAATTTCAGATTCACATTAGTGAAAAATCTCTACAAAATGTTTCTGAAAAGCAAAACAAAGACTGCCTGTTCATTTTTTTTTTTCATGAAAGCAGACATGGGTTGTAAAAATAAAGCAGTGTGTTTAGCACAAACTAGATTTCTGCATCACTTTTTTCACAGTTATTTCCATCTACAGTTCAAAGAGGTAGATTTTCTGCAACACCTGAGAATTGAACTGTAACGTAGCCAGGTGTAAGTGTAATGAGAGAAGGACAAAACATTAGAGAGATACAGCCCTAACTTACTTGTGTATGCATACACATATTTGGGTCTTACATCATGTATAATTTAGTTTTGCAGCTTAATCATGGTGAAACTCTCGATCAGGCCCCAGAGTTTTGACAATGAGACATACTTGTTTCAGGCTATGTAAATTAACAGCCCAGGTTAAACAGTTTATGGTAGTGGAAAAAGGCATTAACACAAGTTTATCTAAAAACCCTACTGGAGCCAATTTGGCTGCAGACTGGCAGTGCAATAGCCTGCTGTATGGCAGATCAGTTAGAGTGCTAAACTTGTCCCTTATATAAATTTTTTATTTTTTAATTTTTTAATTTTTTTTTTTTTTTTTAAAAACAACACTCTTCAAGCAATTCATGAAACAGTATTGACTGGTTTCAGGAAGCAAAGTATAGCTCACCTTGGCCAGATGGAAAGTTGATATGATGTAGGTATGTCACAGGTAGGAGAGAGAAAATATCCCCATTTTAAAAGCCTTTTACTTGGGGCACTCTGCTTCATTTATATATTAAGTCAGTAACAAATATATTGTATTGCTGTTCTATATATCTGTCACATCTCTAAGAGCCCTTTAAAATATTCTTGCAGCACGGTCCAAAATTTGCTCTCACTTCCATATAGAACAAGCACAATAGAAAGAATTGTTAAAGATACAAATGTTCAAATAATCAATCGTAAAAATAGAAAACTGCATGTCCTACCTTGCCAAGGGTATGATGCATCATATACAAAGTTTTTCACTTTCCCTCAGGAAAATTATTTCATGCTTAGTGTTACCGAAAACCAGTTCTCGCAGTAACCATTTTTAAACAGTTTGATTTTACAAAGCAAGTCATTTGAAGAGCAAGTCTGAAATACTTCTTTCCCATAGTTATGCCACATGGTTAACGTGATTAACACATCAGAGCTCTGAGCCTAACTCAACTGACTGCTCGTTACTAGCTTCTTTTCGTTTTTGCATTGTGCTTGGACCACAAACACAAACTGCGCTAATCTAGGAGAAAAAACAGCCAGGTCCCCATTTGCTCCACCATTTAAGAAATGTCAGTTTCACACAGTTCCCTTCAGTGGTATGAGCTAAAACACATTTATCAGGCCTTATATAACCTTATTCTCTTTAAGAGACAGCTACATTATTTCAATGTACATTACAACAGAAAAAGGATCAGGAGCTCAGTGCAGCCTGAACATTCAAGTAAATTTAGCCACTAAACTGTCAAGGGCGATGAGGGTGGGAAGCTCATTAAGAGATGTGCTTGATTCAGAAATTCCCCCCCAAGTAAGTGCAAAGAACATTAAGTACCAGAAAAGGCTACACATTTTCATATTCCTTAAAATGACAGCAACCAAAACTAGAAAGCAAATGCATGTGAACTAGAGTTAAGGGTAGCTTGTGGTTATTTAACACATTGCCTTGACAAAAAAAACAATTGTTGGTCCTGGTTTCTCTCAGAAAATAACTCAAAACACAGATATCAAGTTTTCTATTAAAAGAGTATGTGGTTTAAGTGTTAAGAAAGGAACTTTGCTTGTGTCATGTTAGTAATAGAGTCTGAAGTACCATCTTTACCAGATAACCTTAAGGAACTGGTAAGGCACTCGGCCAACTGGTACAACTTCAAGGTTGAGTGCACGAGAAATTTCACATTGTACTTGAACATGTAAATTCATAATTTTTTCCCCAAATTATAACGAGTATGCTCAACTGATGCTCAAATATGTTGCATATAGGGCTATTAGAGAAGCCTACATGCCAGACTCATGTCTTCTACAGCTCAGGCATCAAATGTCCATTTTCCACACCTTCAGACAGGACACTGAGAAAGGCGTAGACAGTAATGGATTTCTCTAGTCAGAATTAACCATGTTACGGACACACTGCAGCCAAAAGGGAAGAACGTGACCCACATCTGTGTAATACAACTGCAAAGTTCCACTCCATAACGTTGCTGAAAACTCACATGTTTATATTTAATTTGTCACAGGTAGGGCAGATAGGCTAAACTAACCTTTACAACACAATCCTGAGAAATCTCCAAGCTGTATACCCTGTTTCACCAGCTGCAACTTAATGTATTCCAAAGCTGTTTTTCATACTACAAAGTACACTAAAACCCCTTAACATAACTCTCACTATATTCTGGACCCATACCTTTTCATTCATATATATGAAAACATTCTAGGGGAGAAAACTGAAATTTTTACTGGCCATTAGACATGCTGATGTAAATAAATTTGCTATAGAAATTGGTAATCATTAGTATACTGAGCGGAAATTCAATGAACAAAAACAAAATGCTCTTCTTCAAACCAAGAAAGTGACACGCTGTCACTATTGTCCCCTGAAACGATGTTATATCTCTACAGTCTTCAATGACAGTGATTTGAGTTGTGGGGAGGAAATGCACATGCATCCTTTTATGGAAAAATATTTTCTTTTAAAAAAATGAGGCAGATGTGCAACACAGTTGTGAAAAATTTATAGTTTAAGCTATTTAAAGCTGCTATGCAGCTTCCTGTACCACATAAGTCCAGTAGTTCTAAGAAAATACAGATATGGTAGAAAAAGTAAGAAAATTTTCACCACAAAACCAATAGTTACCACCAACAGAGAAAGTTATACACAAAATATATCTCTCAATACAGTGTTTACACTTCACTTTAGTCAACAGATTCAGTGCCAGGAACAGGACTTGTTGAGGCAGTCTTTTCAGAACTATTTGCTGCACATGATTCAACATCAGGCTGGATTCCCGGTTCCATGTCAGTGGGAGTTCCCAGCTCCTCATGGGAGCTGAGTGTGCAGGACTGCAACACCTGCACAGCTAGATCCACATCTGCCTCTCTGAGAGAAACCTGTTCCTTAAGGACTTCCACCTTCTCATTCAACTCGTTCCTTTCTGTCTGAAGAGCCCTGCACAGCTTCTCCAAACGCTCCAGTTTTATTTGAAAGCCTTTGTATTCCTTATCTCTTACTGTTTTCTGAGGGACAAAAGAAAACAGAAGCTTTGTGATTAAAAAATTTTTTTTTTTTTTGCACATAATGAAAAGAATCACTACTATTTAATCCTCTAGATTAAGTCTTAATGCACCCAAGTAGGTCAAATATTAGCTGCGCTAGAGCAAATTTGCTCAGAGTACTTGACCATTGCACTTTATTAGTCCAGTCAGTTACAAACCAAGTAACAGCAACTACACAGAGCAGAAGAGAACAAAAGTGGAAAATCTAGAATTCATCAGCTGTTGCAGTCAGAAGTTATCATACTCATGACTCTCAGCTAATTCATTAAAAAATAGGGAAAGATGAACAGAGCTGTAGTGTAAATTTTAAGAACAATTAGGTATACCCTAATAAGGTTTAGAAAGATTGCACTTAATATACCTCAACTAGAAATTAGAAAAGGTAGGAGAACAACTCAACTGTATGGCTAAGGCTCGCGTAAAATATGTTTTTAGCTTCTCTTACTGGAGAGCAAATAAATAGAATGGCACCTCATGACCTCAAAAGGAGCAGCAACGTAAGGAAAGTAAATGCCTTCTTAACTCACAGGTCATTGACTTCAGGCAAAGATCAGATATTTAAAACAGACTTTTATTGCAGTACTGATAGAACTTCGCTCAGCAGATTAAAAAAATGTCAATACATTCAGCTTGTAAAATTTCATACACGCTATCCCACCAACTAAACAGTGAGCAAGGGAAGATGATTTTTTTCCTGTGTCAGGCAAAACAGCTATCAAAAGCCAATTCATTGTCTGTGTTTTGGGAGAACAGCAGCACATTTACACAACAGAAAGCAAAGAAAATCCATGAGCAGGTAGTGGTGCTGTATTGCTTTTATCTAAAAAACTGTATGAAGTTCTCTGGAATGCAGACTCTGGTTTAGCCATACTGCCGCTTAAAAACACAGTGATAATTACTCACCTCTTCGGCCATTTGCAGAAGAGCCTTGTTGTTGTTTTCCCATTTTGTACGCCATACTATTGTTTCCTTTTCCAGTTTCTTAATCTTCTTAGTCATCTGCAAATGAAAGGCTTTACTTTTTTGGCTTGTGTTGTAACATACGTAGGTATACATTACTTTTTGTCCAAACTGGACTTTGGAAGTAACATTACAAGTTATTTTATGGAAAAGTCTTTCTGCACCAAATCTATCCCCAAAATTCTGAGTCTGCAATTCAAAGACAAACGAGATTGATTCTTGAAAGAAATATATTATGAACCTTCCTTAAGAACAGCCAACACTCCGTCCTCAAGAACAGCTAAAACTCTTCTCAAAGAAGTTTTAAAACATAAGTACAGCACACTTAAGATCAAACTATTGTTGCCTTTGATAAGGCATTGGAATTAGGATGCAGATATTATGCAAATATTTCAAAAATCAGAAAAATTGCATCACATTTCTCTTCCCCGATATGACAAATCCTTATTCCCTTAAGTTCCAAATTAAATATCAAAATACCCATATATTTTCAAGGCAAAATTTCAGGAGGCAAACGCTGTAATGAAATCCAAAATGCATCCTACTAACAGGATGCATTTTTAATATTACGTTTCATGCAGATCTAATAGTAAGTACCTTTTCCATTTCTTGCCTGAAGGTTGTAAAGAGTTCGTTACTCTTTGCCATGGTGGTCTGGAATTCTTCAAATTTATCCATGTAAAGAGAAAGCTGTTGAAAAAACGCAGGAACACTACCCTATAAATCTGTGTTTCCATACAGAAACATTTATTAAGGTACAGGAGGAAATTCAAGTCAAAATGATGAAAGATCAACTTTTGTAGTTTTCGCATACTATCCCACAATTTTAATTTGAGGAACAAGCAGAAGACCAACAGCATGCTATTCAAGTTATATATATGAGCAGAGTGGTCTATGTTTATAAAACAGTATTATATATTCTGAAGAAAAGGATGTCATGCCAATTCAATAAAACGTTCAAAGATAGCATGTTTAATCACCACTATCTCATTCCTGTTCCCGCATGAAAAAATCCTGTGGATTTTAATACACAGGAAATACAGCTCTTGTAATGAAGTGAAACCTGAAAGAGACCTACCTTCCCATCTTCCCAAGCAACCAAAGCTAACAAATAAGGCTGGGATAAAAAAAAAAAACTGACTGAATACAGAAATCAAGATACACATTCATAATCTATGAAATTTGGCTAGTGAGCAAAAACCACAGAAGCTGACTACTGACAGGAATTCATTTAAGTAAGTGTTAATTTCAACAAGTGAAAAGCATTGGTGTTCGATTAGAGAAGAGTTTCTTGTCCTACACCACAAAGTCACTCCTCAGGAACAATAAAATATGTTAATTAGCACAGTTTTTCAAAAGAAGAAAGTTTCGATACAAGAGAGAAACCTAAAAATAAATTATCGTTGTATAACCTAATGCTCTGACAAAGACAATTACGAAATGTCATGACTATTTACTAGCAACTTCTTACGCTATCTGAAGAAACTCCTCAGAGCTGATCAATTCTCTCAATTTTTACATGAGGGAGGGCTGTGTTCCAGGACAATAACATTCACAGTACAGAAAAAAAAATGTGTTTTTTTCTAATAGAATGAAACAGGAATCAGCCTAGCTTATCAACAGTAGGTCATGACTCTGCAGTTTGTGACTGAACTTCCTAAGCTCATCTTACTCTACAGAGATCTGTGCTGTCCCAAAGAAACCACAAATTATATCCATTGTTACTATAAGTAGTAACAAAAGATAAATAAAAACACACACATATATAAAAATAAAAGGCACTGGGAACAGATTTTAAAAGCTACTTGAAAGATTTTGATAAAAGACTGTACACGGCAAAAACTATTTGGGAGAATCTGGACATTAATGAGTCCAATTTCAAAGATGATGTGTAAATATATAATTAATGGCACACACCTTAAATACAGCTGTTGGAAACCGTGGGGCAGAATTAGGTACAGTAAGTGGTAGGAAGGGCATGAAACAGAGCTTGCAAGAAGACATTCAATACAAAACTCCAAAATGAAGGAATAAGAGGCAAGGTAGTTACTTAACATACACTGAAAGGAATAGCTGCTGCTCCTCAAGTGCTACCACATTAGCCTAAGCTAGCATTTTCCTTTGCTTTAACACAGCCAATGACTGCAGGTGAACTGAAACAGCAGCACAATCACTGGAGACCATCTCTCTGTCACAGAGGATTTGGCTGTAGCATTTACAGTGAGAAAGGAATTTGAAGACCACGAAGTTCACGGTCAGAGACGCTCAGTTTTAGGCTACCGAGTCTGAATAACGACACGGATAAATATCTATTATTTGCTCCCTTTCCTCCTGAATAAGGGAAGGGATGGCAGCAGGGGCAGTAAGGAACAAATTCTAAAACCCACATGGAAAAAACCCATCCAACTCTTCACAGTCACAAGGGCCTGTCTGGTCCTGGACAAATATAAAAAGGGTAAAAACACCTTGGAAAAGAGTGGCAAGAAATGATAAAGTAGTAGCCACAGTGACTCTAGTCTTTGTAGTATTAACATTATTATTTTAAAATGATACCAACTCCAGCAATTCCATGTTTAGCACCTTCCAGTAACAGTACTTTCCAAACATCAGCAACTACAAAACACAAAGTCTTTACACCTTACACTTCTTACCTCACTCTTGAGGAGTTGCTTACTGAAAATTAAGATTAGATTTAAAAATCTCAAGCATTTTTCACAAAAACTAGATCTGATGAATGTCAGCATGTAGATTCTGCATGTTGTAAGCGCTACATTTTACCACTCCACAAGTCTCTTGATACTTTCACTTTGGAAAAACTGTATTGAAGATCACTCCATTTAAAAAAAACAAACAAGCAAACGAAAAAATCAACACATACACACAAAACGAAACACCCCCACACACCTGCTGTTTCAGCTGGGCTTCCTGTTGCTTCATCTGTTCACATTTGTGCCTGGACTCAGTAGCTTCTTTTAGCAACTAAAAAGACAAACCAGTTATTGCCAGCCGTATGAACCACAAAATAAAAAAAAGTACTAATTAAGAATAGCTTAAAAGAATTTGATCTGCAATGAAAAATAAATAAAGTTTAACAAAGGAGGTCACTTCTGAAAAGCAAAACCTAATTTCATCTCAGGGTCATTCACCATGATTTCTCACTGATTTTTTTTGTTAAGCATGTGCTAGCATACAGAAATTGTTTGTACTGAGACGTTTTTTCTAATTGGTAGCATGATTTCATTTCTGTTTGTATCCTGGTAGCAAGTTTGAACAGCTAAAATTATACATGCAGTTCACTAATGAACTGAAAGTTATTAATGACTCTAGAAATAATGGTGAAAAATGGTTATATATTATCTCTACAGATTTATTCAATATAGTTTTGCTTCAATTTTGAGACCATCCGGTAGGTGAGTCTAAGAGATTTTTATCAGCTCATGGTGCCAAAGCTGTTTTACTAATGTAGGCAGTCCACTAGAGTGGACCATCACTTTAAGAATATACAGGGAAAGCAAGGCCTTTTTCCTAATGATTACAACTCTATATGGATGAAAAATAGTCTTTCCCT